AAATGATAATTTTGAAACTTTTTCCTCAAAGTACAGATTTCCAAAACTGATGAAAGAGAGACTCGGAGTTAACGTTATGATATTTGTGGAAGAAATAATAGTTGGCAGCCCAACATGTTGGCTCAGTTGGTTACATTCAACCTCTTGTAAGCACCAGGATCCCATATGGTTCATGTCCTGGCTGCTCCACTTCCTATCCAATTCTCTGCTCATGGCTTGGGAAAGCAATGGAACATGGCCCCAAAGCCTTGGGACTGCACCCATATGGAACTCAGAAGAAGCTCCTGGCTCCTGGCTCCTGGCTTTGGATCCTCTCAGCTCTGGCTGTTGCAGTCATTTGGGGAGTGAGCTAGCAGATGAAAGATCTTTCTGTGTCAGCTTCTCTCTGAATATTTGTTTTGCCAATCCAAAAAAAAAAAAAAAAAACAAAAAAACACTTCCTTTAAAAAAAGAAGAATGGATTACTATTGTTTCCATTTTGTTCTATGGTGATTTTGAGTTTTAATTAAGAGACAGAGATTCTGAAAATACAGAGTACTTATGGAATCCTACTCATCTGGATTTGTTTAGATATTAGTATCCTATTATACAAATATGACCCAGTTAGGCAAAGCAATAGGTTTCAAGAAGCTGCATTTTTTCCCCTTCCCCGGCCAATATTTTTGCGTGATTTGTGAATGATAGGAGCTTCTCAACCAGGCACCGTTGATCCTCGATTGATCTTCCAGGAAGTGGTTACTCATTTTCTGAGTCTCTTGGATGAGGGCATGGGTGGAAGGAGAAGGGTTTCCCGATGTTCTCAGCTGTGCATCACCTTCCTCATGCATCTTTCCAACCGTCTTCCCACAGCCAGACCAACAAGATCATGCTTGCTCAGTGAATGTGCAGGAAAGATGGTCCCAGGATGTTAACTCTGGGACTATCAAAATCCACTTCTGTGCTTTGCAAAACACAAAGGGGCCCATTTTCTATCTCCCCTGCCGCTGCCCCTGCTTCCATAAATAGCTTTGAACTGGAATCATTCAGATGGGTCTCAGTATCCCAAGTTTAATTAGTCAGAATAAGGATTATTTTTAAAGCAAGGTAGCAATTGTTTTACTGCGAGGATGTCTAAAGCATTCTCTCACCATGGTGCAGACTGACTTAACACATTCGTTGCTGCTTTCAGTCTTGACAAAATTACACTGCAGCAAAGTCTCGGTGCTTACAAGGGTTTATTTTCCCATTCAAATTACATGTCCCTCCTGTGTTGGCAGAAGTTCTGCTCACATTGTTTTAATCCAGGACCCAAGATGTAGGAAGAGCCCTGTCAGGAGTCTTCAGAATGTTCAGGAAAAAAACCTGCATATTATGAAAATACTATGATTTCAAATAAATGGTGGTTAAGCAATTAAAACATCAACTGGGACACTCAGATCAGCATGCCTAGTCTGAATCCTTGCTCCACTCCAGATTCGATGGTCCTGCTAATGCACACCCTAGAAGGTAGCAGGTGACGTCTCTGATGGTGGAGCCACTGCCACACACGTGTGGGATCTTGGGTTGAATTTCCAGCTCTTGGCTTTGACCTAGTCTAGCACTGGTGGCCACTGTGGGCATCTGAGGAATGAAGCAGCAGGTGGAGCTCTCTCTGTCTGTCTGCCTCCAAAAGAAAAGCATTTGATGTAAGTATCATGTGGTAAAAGACAAAAAAATATGGAAGAAAGCACAGTGGGGTTGAAGCTTCTCCTTGGATTTGTCTCACTACATTTCCCTCTCATTTGATTGGCCAACACCTGACACAAACAGTGGTACCTTATCGTTTTACGCAATAGGGGAGGGGCAAGATGATGATAAATAATACATCCTTTTACAATGCACATGCTTGCTCATGAATATTAATTATTGCATGGGTTAGGCTCTTCTCTGTTGCTAAGACAGGATACCTAAAGCTGGACAGTATAAAGAGGTGTATCGTCTCACAGTTTGGAGTTAGAAAGTCTGAAAAATCACGTGACATGGTCTGTTTCGGCTTCTGCTGAGGCCCCTCTTGGCTGGATCACAATATGACAAAGATTCAAGGCCAAACAGCATGTGGGGTAGCCTTTGTTTTGAGAGCAATCCCTACTCTGTAAGACTCCCATTAATTCCTTCTGCAGGTGTTATCACTGAGACCTAATTACCACCACATGCAAGGGCCAGCTCTTTTCAAAGACACCACTACCTCATGTATCACCCCTCCCCCCGAGGGTCTAGTCTCCAACATGAAACCACATTCAACATAAAACATCCTCCTTTCAGTAGCAAAGTATACCCAGTCCCTCCCCTGGAAGATACACCACGGTCCTGTGTAGTCACATCATCAGACTCCAGATCTGGAAGTGTTTCTGAGGTCTTCAATCATGATGTAGCTTCCCCTCACCTGGAGACACATGAGCCTGACACACGACACTTTTTCCTGCATCCTTCACCCTCAACTTCTGATGGCAGACTATGGTCAGGCAAAGCACCAAAAGCATTCCCATCCTGAAAGTAGAATGTGGGAGAACTAGAACAGCTGGGTGCTCAAAACATTTGTGAAACCCCAGGGAGCAGATTTTGGGGTGGAGAAATTCTCCTGGATTAGCTCCCCTGGTCTGCTTCCAGGAAGTGACTCTTAGGTTTCCTTGTTTTCTGTGGTTCCCAGCTCCAACCCCTGGAAGATGAGTCCTTCTCCCCTCTTCTTCTTGAACTCATCCCATAAAGCATAGTGTAATAAGACCTTCCTAGAGCCTACCAAGCTTATCTTTATGATGGCTCATGCCCACAGCTTGGGAAGCCCAAAGGCCACCTTGAATTCTAAATAGCCATGTGGTTTCCTTTTCTTTTCTTTTCTTCTTTTTCACTTCAAGAAGCAGAGAGACAGACAGAGCCCCATCTGCTGGTTCCTTCCTGAAATGCTTCCAATGACTAGCTTCCATTAGCCAAGACTGGCCCCAGCTGCAACTACAAACCCCAAACTCAGTCTGGGCTTATAATGCAGCCGGAAATCAAGCCCTTTCCTGCTGCCTTCAGGGGTGCATATGAGAGGGAAGCTTGAACTTGGAGCTGGAGCTTGCACTTGAATGCAAACACTGTGTTGTAGGATGCAGCCATCACACTGGCACCTATGTCACTAACCCCAACACCTGTCTCCACTGTGTCATTTATTTATCCACCATGGTTATATTATCCAAACCTTTTCTTGGTCCTTGACCAGATCAACTCTCTCAAGAACTTTGTCATATTTTTATCTACTTGGATTCCAGAGAGTTCACACGGGGGGCAACACACAGTTATTTTTGAGATGTCTTTCTCTATAACCTTGATGACAGTTGTCCTGCGAGAACTACAGCTCAATGGATTCACAGATTTTGTCAAGGGACATTCTGATGGCTTTCACAGGCTTGTGCTGTTACTGAAAACATTTCCCATTTTTAACTTACTTGTCAGAAATGAGAAACAATTGCTTCTTGTAAACCGCACCCCCACCCCAAAACCAGGAGTTTATGAATTACCTTAATTCCAGGCTTATAAACCAAACTCTTCCTTGGCTCCATCTTTTTCATGTGTTACCACATGGAAGATGACCAGTTGCAACCAGTGTATAAACACACTGTGGCTCAAATCTGCTACCTTAAGCCCAAACTCACACACTGGAGAGCTGTCCTACAGATCACCATGGGCAATGATTTTACCAATTTTTTTTAACAAAATGTCTTTACTTGAAAAGCAGAGCTCTAGAAAGGGAGAGAAGAAAGATCTCCAATCTGCTGGTTCACTCCCCAAATGTCCTTAATGGCGGAGTCTAGGTCAGGCAGAAATCCAATCAAGGTGTCTCATGTGGGTACAGGAACCCAAATACCAAGGTCACCATCCTCTGCCTTCCCAGGCACATTATGAGCAGTGGAGTCCAAAGAAGAGCAGCTGGACTCAGGTCTGCAAGTCTGATGTGGAATGTGGCTATTTTTAAGCAGAGTCATGAGCTGACCCTACCCTTAAGGGTTTCTGTTGGATAAGGTACCTGTGTCTACTCACATTGTTGAGAAAGTGGCATGACCAAGACTGACATGAATGGAGTGAAAAGGTGGAAAACTTTTGCCGGACTGGAAAGATTGGAGATTCTATGCACCTCCCCTAACTCATGAACATGGCTGTGAATGTGTTTGCTTTATCTGATAAGGACATCAGAAGAAGACACATACTGAGAGATGCTACATCCATCCATTTTCTTATCATTGTTCTAAGGAAACACCTGAGACTGGGTTATTTGTAAGAAAAGAGATGTAGGTAGCTCACCCTTCTGGAGGGTCAAAGTCATGATGCTGGCATTGGTTCAGCTCTGTTGAGGGCCTCATGGCACATGGCTTCACACGGGCAGGAACATGGGCAGAAAAGATCACATGACGGGACAAGAGGTCTGAGAAGGAGCCAGGGATCGGGCTGTCTTTTGGTAATGAGGTTCTCATAGGAGCACCTAATCCTTTTGACATCAAACCCCCAGCACCCTCGCCATCTCCCACCAGACATCACTGAGGCTCCTCTAAGTCAACACAACCATGCAAATCACTGAGACTCTCGCTCATGAGTGTCAAACAACTTCCCAATCCTTGCAGGTGCATCTTTAGAGACACACCTGAATCACTAAGGGGATTTCTGTTTTCTTGGTCGTTGGTGACGTTTGTAGAAACATACGCATTGTCTGAAACGCTACACAAATCCAGAGAACACGAGATGTGTGGGATTGACAGCAGATGGCTGCGTGAGTAGGAAACCAACTAGCCTGTGACATCTTTTCTCCAAGAGTCTAAATTGAGGGGGTGCGTTCCACTCGCTGTCTTCCAGTTAGTACTTGTGAGTTCACAAGTATGCAAAATGGGACAGAGAACTGCTCATCTGACATCCTTAGAGCTGGAGGGGAGTACCTGGCAGGGGGAATGTCGGGGTTGTCACTCAGGTCCTATATCCAGCTCACATTCCCTCATGACTTTGTGTCTCTGCAGTTCGACATGCAGAGGATAACCCTGGAGGAGCTCAAGCACATTCTCTACCACGCCTTCCGGGACCACTTGACAATGAAGGATATTGAGAACATCATCATCAATGAGGAGGAGAGCCTGAATGAGACCTCGGGGAACTGCCAGACGGAATTCGAAGGCGGTACGTGTCCCCGCTCGTGCCTTCTCTCTCAGCTACAAAGAGATCAATGTCCTGTACAGAAGCCAGGAATTTAGAGATGAGGTTCAACAAGTCCTTTCTCCCAAGAGTCAGAGGGTATTTTGAGTTGATTCCATCTTCCTTCCTCCCAAATTCTGGGCTTGTTGTTGTTGTTGTCATTGTTGTTGCACTTGGTTCCTCCAAAACTCTGCTTTCTTTGTTGTTGTTGAACAGCCCCTATTGGTCCTGTCCTTGCTCTCATAACACCTTCAAGTCACAGTGGGGTGTGTGGTCTGTGGAAATTGCATGCATGAGACAACTGAGACTGTAGGCAGACTCAGATCAAGTCCATTGGCCAATGGTGTGAACTGAGCAGAGGCTGCACCTGTCTTTGTGCTCCCTCATCTATAAACATCAGGAGGATTACATCTGCCTCTATAAACCCTTCATGGCAGATAACCTCTCTCCTCTGCAAGTGCCCCGGCTAAGACATGCCCAGCGGCAGAAGTCTTTCATGAGCCTATCCAGGTGGTTATGGAAGAAATAAGGCTTTCCTAAGGCTAAGAATGACACTCGGGAAAGGCCATTTTTTCTTAGGCTCATAAAAGAAAATGTAAGAAGGAGGGGAAAAAAAAACCGAGTTTATCTCCTAATCAGTAGAGTGTCTCAGAAGCTAAATAATTTAATCCTTCCTTCCAACTTTCAAAATCGGAGTTGCTTCCACAGTCTTGATGCATAGCACACACACACAGAAATTAATTACATGGAAATATCACCACAGGCTATCAGCAATTTTTAACTTGTTCAAGGCTGACATGCCTCCTTGGAGAGGCCAGACTATTTTTTTTCCTCTTCTTTCTGAGCACATAAAGAAGCCCATATGTGAACATTTGAAGTCTATGCATACTTTTTCCATAATTTTTTATAAACTTTTTGGAGACTCTTTCCTAAGCTTGGGTTTCAAAAAAAATTTTTTTTTGCACCAAATGAATCTTATTATTTCATTCCATATTCCTGGAACTCTTGGAGGTTCCCTGGTACACACCAGAGTGGCCTTTCCTGACCTGGTCTTTGAGCTGTTCGCTTGCAGCTGATGGAGTATTACGGAAGAGAGGAAGCTCAGTGCCCAGCAGCTCTCAAGGTCGCAACTTTTCTTTCAAGCATGGTCTCTCATCCAACCCATCTCAGCCGTATCTGTGCCAAGACAAGAAAGGATTATTATTCTGATGTTACCAATGCAATCAACTCAAATCAGGGTAAGAGGGACTAGTGAAGACTAGGGCAAAATAGAGAGCCATGCCCGCTTTGTACAGTCATCCACATAGAGGCTTCTCAACAGCGTTGTGTGCACTAAACGTCCAGCTGCAGCTCAGAAGCTGCTCGAGTCTCCCAGCTGTCAACCCTGGGCTGCAGCACTCAGGGCTGAATCTGATTAGAGTGGAAACACCTCTGACTACACAAGGGCAAGACCTCAGGGATTCATGGCACCATTTCCTGCAGGACCATGCAAGGAGTCTGGGAGGATGAGGAGTGCTGAGGAAGGCAGAGATCAGACTTTTCAGGACAACAGCTTCGTCCTCTTCCCATTCTGTCTCTGTCCTAACTGACCGACCGGGTGTTTGGGGTTTCTACCTGGAGGTACCTAGGCTTACTTTAGCCGCTGCAACACCAACAATAATTACCATGCTGAGGTTACTAAGCGCCAGTATTGTGCAAAGCAACTTGAAGCATATGAGAAACCTTGTTTGGAATTCGCATGCTGTCTCCTGGCCTGAGCTCTTGACTGATGACATCACCGTGTTTTCCCATTGTCTTATCAAAGAAAACCTTTTGTTTTTTTTTAAGGAGGTTTTTTTTTTTAATTTTTATTGGAAAGGACAGAGTTACAGAAAAAAGAGACAAATCTTCCATGTGCTGGTTCACTCCACAGATATCTGTAATGGCCAGAGTTGAGATGATCCAAAGCTGGGATCCAAGAGTTTTTCCAAGTCCCCCACGTGCTTGCAGAATCTCAAGGTCTTGGGCTGCCCTTCGCTGCCTTCCCAGGCCACAGGCAGGGAGCTGGATAGAAAGTGAAGTAGCTAGGAGATGAACCAGCACCCATATGGGATTTCAACACTTGCAGGGAGAGGACTAGCCAATTGAGCCCTTGTGCCAGGTCCCAGAGAAAGCTTTTTCATGAGGTTATCGCGAGCTGGTACTGCTGGGTCTCCAACACCAGCTCATTGGTTAGTGTTTTGCGTGTAAGGAATTTCTCATCTTGGATATGACTGAAGACAACTGGGGCAACTGTATGTGTTTATTCCCCAAGTCCCAGAACTCCACTCAGGCTTTGTGTGCACTGGCTAATCCCACACACAACCCCCAGGAGGCTCCTTCCTGCTCCTGTCCTGAGGGCTTCGCTGCAGCAAACCTACAACTCGACCAAGCTAGGCTATCTCCCCTCAGTTGATGGCTCCATGGAGGTGTAGAACCCCTGCGCTGGTGAGTTTCAGAGGAAGCAGTTGGTGAGGATGAAGGAGATTTATTGTTAGAAAAAGGGAGGGCACTTCAGGCTCCAAGCCAGGAACGAGTCCATGGACAAGGAGATGGGAATTGGGTGGCAGAGTGGGAACTTAAGAGAAGCCCATATAGCTTGGTTTTGAAGTGAGCAAAGGGAGAATCGAGATGGAGCTGCAGAAGTGTGGTTGAGATCTGAAAACACTGCCATGGATGGCACATGCACTGTGGTGCCAGTTAGAAACCATCAAGAGAAGCCAAGGCATGTGGGAAGGCATCAGAAGAGGGCACAAGTATTTGAGTCTCTGTAAGCCATGTGGGAGACCTGAATAGAGCTTCCAGCTCCTGGTTCAGCTTGGCCCAGCCCGACCTTTATGTTCATGTGGGCGGGTGAACCAGTGCATGGAAGATCTTCCTCTCTTGTTTCTCCTTCTCCCGTAAATAAGATATTCCAAAAAATAAGTCGTGTGTGTGTAAAATGTTTAAGCAAACACAGAGAATGACTCAGACATCTCTCTGGCTCACCTTGTTAAGGTAAGCAGTGCTTGATGCATTTGCATGTTATTATCCATCTGTGTCCTAAATAGTTGGAAAAACAAACAGGTGAGCATCTGCCCTAGCAGAATGGATAGTGGAAGACATACCTTTCCCACAATGTCCATTTACCACCCATGCAGTTTTAAGATGTTTAGCTCTGGTTGAACCACTTTCCATCGCCAGTTTTTTTTTTCTCTGTAGAACAGAGGTTCACTGGCACCGAGATAAATGTGCTTGTTATCATTTGGTTCCAGTTGCTGCCATAGATGACATTTAGTGCTCTTATGCGTGCATCATCATCCACCTGCCCGTCACTGGCGCCTTAGGAAGTGCCCTGGTGTCAAAATCCACCACACATCAGGATGGATGGTACTTGCCTCTGATCTCTTCAGCGTAATCCATATTGATTCAATCCAAGGGGGAAAAGACAGAGGACCATTGCCCAGGACACCTGCCAAGTGTTGGCCACTAATTAACCCCTTGGACTGGCCTATTGCAGTGATCCCAGGAAGCAGGTACCACTGCTCCTGTGATTCAGATAAGGACACCAAGACTGAGCCGGGGTCAAATCCAAAGCCAAGAAGGACAGTACAAAATTTTGTCCCTGAGTCTACCTTTTAAAAACTTTGCTCTGATCCCTATGTGTGTGCTCCCGAGTCCCTGGCTTTAGGCTAGGATGCTTCGAAGTCTCCATGCAAATGGCATTTCATCATTGCCAATGAAAATCATGTTATATTTGGAAGTTGAGTGGAAGTGCAGCAAAATTGTGTGTGAGCTCTCTCAACACGCATCTCTCTAGTGTTGTCCCTAAATGGAATGCCAGCTGTCAGATTTTTCTAGACTTTCTGACAACACTTACAGGGAGAGGGAAGTGGAACAAAATCACCCACTGGGGAATACATTGTTTCTCGTAAGAGATATGGCAGACCTCTTCTGTACCACTCGGAGTTTTCAGATGAGAAATCGGAAGAATGCCTGTCAGAGGAAACCTTCCGGGTAGATTCAGGAAGATCCTGTGCTGATGAGTGCTGTGGACATGGGAATGCTGTATGGTTTATGATTTACTTTCCTCCATTATTCATCGCCAAGTTTAGACGAGGGAGGTCATATCCAGATACAAGAGCATCTAGGCTCTGTGGGAAGTCAGCAAGAATGTGTGAACACATCCAAGGTCCCTAGCTCGGTCATCCCTGCTGAAGTCACAATGTTCTTGTTGTACTGTCAGATGTGTACTTGGCAATGGAAAAACTCAGTCAGCTGGTCATGCACATTGGCTGTCTGCTGTCCATTCAAACAAAAAGGGCACAATATGTCATCAGTACCATCTGCTGCCAGCTCACCTGGGCTGTGACTGTCCTGAAATAAAGTCTTTCTCCTTCGTCTCCATGGTCATTGGGAACACAGGAGATGATTTTGAAAAAAAATATCTGGAACTTCAGACCATGAAGAATTTTTTCTCTTTGGGACCCTTTGGTAGCAGACCTATAGCAAACCTTCCTGAAGAGTGATACGATTCTGAGACAAAAGGGAGGAGCTGGGTCTGACAAATTTGCAAAAGCTGCGGTGGTTATGGGCTCCTGGCTTGGGGACCTCAAATGAAGCCATGGTTTGCCATTTGGTTTTTGCTAATGGGTGTGCGAAGCCAGTGGAAGATGGCCCAAGTGTTTTGGTCTCTGCCATTCCTGTGGGAAATTCAGGTGGTAGAGACCCTGTCTGCTGGATTCCACATGGCTCAGCTCTAGGTTTTATCGTCAATTGGGGAGTGAACCAATGGATGGAAAATTCTCTCTCACACACACACACACAAATAAGCAGATTTTTTTTTTAAAGATATGAGTTAAAATCTTGCCCCAGCATGGGCTCCCTTGAGAAAGACTCTTATGTAACTGCTGCTAGCCTCACACCCTTCATCTGTGAAGTGGGACATCCTTCCCATAGGGTTGTTATGGAGGTTCAATGAGGTCATACAGGAAAATATCCAGTGTACTGCGTAACATATCTACAAGGACTTAAAACACAGCAAGGGACAAGACATGCCCATCCTTAGTCCCAGTTTTTTTCTTCTGGGGACACTGCTGAAGAGAGCTGGTGGGCTAGGAACAGGAGAAGGAGGGAGAGCAAGCAGGTGTGAGGCATGGGGCTGAATGCTGGCTGAGAAGCTAATGGTAGGTGGCATAGGGGCTGCTTGCAGCAGGTGAATGTCACTGCATGCAGGATGCCTCAGGGAGGGAAGGGGCCCGAGCACAGGTCTAGGAGCCTCTGGGGTTTGTCCAGTCCTGTGTTCAAGGCTGCTGAGAACAGAAGGGAAAAAACACAGGCAGGCAGACCACCAGAAAGAACTCTTGCATTTCTTTGACCATTCATAGCGGCGCACAGGTCTCCCTCCTGTTAGCTCTTTACTCCTGGAAACGATCCTTGTGATGCACTGAATAGCTACTGTCTCCAACCACGCAGGCCCAGAAAAGTCCAGCCTCCCACCCAACGTGCCTACATGGCAGTCAGGAGAAGTTCACCCTGAGCTGACCTCGAGTCTTCAAGGGGACACTAAAAATAGTCAGTAAGAATGCAGATACATAGTGATGCAGCACAAGACAGAGATCATGTGTTACCATGTGTTACCATGTGCTAACAGCCATGGCCATTTTGTATGCCTGTGTACAAGCACCTGAGGCAAGCTACGAAGGAAAGAGGCTCACTGTAGCAATCGTGGAGGTGCCGTGACTTAAGGGCCCCATCTGAGGATGCTCTTCTTGCTGGCAGGGTCCCAAAGAAGACCATCACATCCCACACATGATGAGAACATACATGTTTGTGTGCTATGACTTTACATAAAGTCACCAAGATATCCTTATGGCAGGGGTGGGGGGCGGGCGCCCCACTGACCTCATCTAAACCTTGTCACTTTCCAAGGCCCTGACTCTCAATAACATTGTCTGGCTTAAGTTTATACCCTCTCATTGCCTTGTCATGGGGGCTAAACCTCAACACATGACACCTTGTATCCAAATCAGAATGATAGCCAGAGGTAAGACTAAATTATTGTTAAATTTTGCATCAATTGGTACACTGGGTGAATCCCTCCTCCTACAGTGGCCAAACTACCTTTGACTCTACCGAGCTTTGGAGCTTCAGGTTTTCATGAAGCCAATGAAGACCATTAACCCAGCTCATAGGAGATCTGCACTGTGCAATTCTGCATGTACATGCAATCACACACACACACACACACACACCACTGTGTACTCAGTGCTTGGGAATTTGAAAAAGGTTTCAAAAGGGGGAGTTAACCTCTTTGAGTCCAAACAACACGTCAGTACCTTCGTATGTCTTTAAGGAGGTAGATCCTCTGCCTTTCGTTTCATAGATGAGGAAGTGGAGGCCTGAGGAAGGAAATTAATTTGCTCCGGTTCATGCAACTAATCATTTTTCAAGTTCTGGTCCATCCAGCTCCAAAGCCAGTGGTTGTTTGCTTTGCCACGTGATTGATGGTGATATCAGAGTGCAACACAAAACCAGGCTCATGGAGGCGCAAAGGCGGAGTTACAGTCCTCTGTCTCCTGCAGAGGCTGTGATCAGGGCATGCGCAGGAGGCTCCCACGCACTCCCAGGACAGGATTCTGGGCTGGATTCTCCAGGCACTCCTGCAGCTCCTTATCTCTCTCCTCCCACTTTGGAAGGATTTTGTAGATCAAAGTTGCAGGCTCTCTCCTGGGGGATAATCCTGCTACTTGTAGCCTTGTTTCTTGAGTGTCCTTCACAGAAAAGGCCTTTATCTAAAACTCTCCATCCGCCTCCTAAACTCATAGTTTTTTCTCTTCCTGACCCTGTCTTGTGCTCTGGAGACGGAGCGCGGCAGCATGCCTCTCAGCTGCCTAGCACACATTAGCCAGAACGCATCATTCAGTGATGAATTCATTATTTAATAGTTGTTGATTGATTTGAAAGCAGTTTCTGAGAGAGAGAGTTGTTTCATCTGCCAGTTCTCTCCCAAGATGGGCCAAATGATTGGAACTGGGCCAATCTTCAAAACTGAGAGCCAGGAGCTTTCTCCCAGTCCTTCACATGGGTACAGGGGCCCAAATGCTTAAGCCATTCTCTGTTGCTTTCCTCGGCTATTAGCAGGGAGCTGGGTCAACAGTGGAGCAGCCAAGACTGCACCTGGTACCCATTTGGGAGGCCAGGGTCACAGGCACTTGCTTTACATGCTATGTCACAGCTCTGGCCTCATCCATTCCTTCTTGAATGTCGCCTCTTTTTTTTTTTTCCTTGCCTGGCATTGGGAGTCTTCATCTTTGTCTTCTGCTGTCCCCACCCATGCCCCGGGAGACCCATCTCCCGATCAGGGACACTTCCTCCCTGCAAGTAAGAGTTTCTGGCTCTGAGACCCATCCTTTATCAGCAGGTGGAGCACCAACCCACAAAACCTCCAAAGCCTCCCCAAGGGAACCCAAATCCCATGGATGCAGAAGGATTAAAGACAGAGAGTTTGGACCTGAGCGATGAGTCAGAAAAAATCAAAGTGTATTAGAGAGGGAGGTGGGCTGCAGCTAGGGGTGGTGGAGTGGGGGTTGGGGGACTCTCTGGGACATGACACTGCTGCTGAGAGATCCTGCATGATGTCATTCAAGCTCTGGGCCTCTTCCCTCAAAGGATCCTCTAGTTGCCTTTGGAACGTGGCCAGCTTCCTGCTCCTTCTCTGTGATTGGCAGGAAGGAGCCGCTAAATGGCAAGGAAAAGAGGCCATTGACATTGGACTCGTTCTATGTTCTTGAAAGGCAGGTGAGCCTTTCACTTTTTTTTTTTTTTAAGATTGATCTATTTTTATTGGAAAGGCAAATCCACAGAGAGAAGGAGATAAAGAGAGAAATATCTTCTGTCTGCTGAATCATTCCCCAAGTGTCCACAATGGCCAGAGCTAAGCCGATCCGAAGCCAGGAGCTTCTTCCAGGTCTCCCACATGGGTGCAAGGTCCCAAGGCTTTGAGCCATCCTCCACTGCCTTCCCAGACCACAAGCAGGGAGCTGGATGGGAAGTACAGCAACCGGGACACGAACCAGTGCCTATAAGGGATTGCAGCGCATGAAAGGCAAGGACTTTAGCCACTGAGCTGTTACACTGGGGCCTGAGCCTTTCCCTTTTACCAGCCTTTTTCAACAGGTGAATCAAATTAAACCTAATGAACATAACGTATGGTTTTTCCCAAGCCTGATGTTCCGAAAACACACATATACAAAGACACATGTGTGTACACACACTCCTGTCCCCGGCTATGCCAAGTCCACCCAGGTCTACTGAATCCAAAATCCTGCAGGCAACCCTGAGAGCCTGAAAAATCTAAGTCCCCAGTCTGCACTGCAGTGTCGGACAGGTGCCTTTCTGCGGCATGAGTTCTGGGATATTCCATGCCGTAGGGCAACAAGCATCAGCAATATTCCATCTAGAGGTTGGTTCCTTACTCCCACAGCACATCAACCACAGCTCTCTCCGGCCACCCTAGGTGCTTGCCCTTGACTCCTCGTGAACAGCATCATCCTACAGGAAGGACCCTCTCGCCTTATGTAGAAAGAACTATCGCTGGTCTCATGGCTGCTTTTTTTTCTTCTCTCCCCCTCCCGTCCCTTCTCTGCGTGTCTCCCCACCCCCTCCCACCTCCAGTGCATTCTCAGAAACAGAACAGACAGACCTGCGTCCGGAAGAGCCTCATCTGCGCCTTCGCCATGGCCTTCATCATAAGCGTCATGCTGATTGCCGCCAACCAGATCCTGCGGAGCGGCATGGAGTAGCTGCAGCCCCCTGCAGCCCCCATGGTGCCTCCAGCTCACCCGCATGTGCATGGGGCCCAGCGAGCAGACTCTGTTCCTATTCATGGCAGACCTGGACCTACAGATGGTGGACTGGACGGGGTAGTTGGCACAGCTCGACTCGGGACCCAAGGCTTGCAGCGCAACCCGGGTTGCCAGTCAACTCCATGTCCTTGGCAGGGATACTCAAGGGCTGTCTTCAACGCTTTAATGGTTTTGTTTTCCTCTAACGCAATAAATTGCCAGGAGTTCTGAATTGTGGCTCCGATCGCCAGAGCAAAACTTGCTTTTTCATCTCAGAATCCTCATGGCCATCAGGTGTCATGATGGCATAGGAGAGCAAGAGAGAGAGAGAGGCGTGGACACAGTCAGCTCCACTCTCCCCTTCATCCCTCCCCAAGATCAGCAGAGATGCCTCCCCAACTGGGGTCCACCCTCATGTTCAAAGGACAGACTTCTGGATCGAGCTACCCTGGCTTCCTTCCTCCACCCAGTGGAGACCCCTCACCCCCGACCCCCAAGGCATGAGGGGAAAGCCATTAAGTGGGGTGCTGTCACAGCTGCACCCCCACCGCTTCCGTTCTTAACTGCCTTTAACACAGGACCCGCTGCCGGCAGAGTTGGGGCCCTCTAGCTTGGTTCCGTGGCACTTGGCTTTTCTGTTCCTGGAGCCCACCCTGCACCAGCATTCTGGAATCTGCAGAGAGCCTACTCCCAGCTTTGCACCTGTGCCGCCATCAGAGAGAGAAAACAAACAAACAAACAAAAAACAGAGGCGTGACTGTGACTATGGCTGTCTCACAGACACACAGGCATTGCCGTCTGGCTCCTTCCCGCAGGATGCCACTCCACTCTGGTCGTTGCCATTAGCTTGCCCTCCACTCTCTGGGGGCAAGGGGCAAAGAGTCGGGCTGGGGAGGGGGTAGGAGGAGGGAGCATGAAAGGGCAGACGTGTCAGTAGCTCCCACCCCAGCCGTCCACGCCTGGCAACCTCTGTCAGTTGAAGTCCACATTCGCCCTTCCAGTCTTTCCCTCATCCTGGAGTTTGCTTTGTTAGTTCAAGTCTTCCCCCAGCTCAAAAGAGAAATGCAACCCAAAGCTGGAAAATGACAAGATCAAATCCCTTTACCTGATAGCTTCTGTTGTTCAAATTCTGCGGCTGACTCCATTCAAAAGAGATGGGTGGGGATGGGGGTTTGTGGATGAAGGCTCTCCAGGAGTGTAACGACCGTAACAGGTCACTTACACCTGCCGATAAAATCCCTCCGCTGAGTCCAACATCCCATTTCCAACACTCCATCCAGTCTGTCTTTGCCTTGATGCCTCGTCAGCCACCACCGTTAATTTATGCTTGCATTATCACATTAGCCAGTAATCTTTACATGTATAATTTCCCTTTGTCCTCTTCCAAGCTCAGGTCTTTATATCAGTAACAGAATGGTCTTGCTCGTATCTCTTTGTTCACTCACGCTACAGGTTTTTTCCCCATTTTCTTCCAGTATTGAGGAAACGGACTTTTCCCTTCTTGGTGGAGTGGGAGAGGTTTCAGGGTGCCGTGTATGTGCATGTGTGAACCTCTCACCAAGCCTACATAACCCCCCTCCAGCCTGCCCATCACTTCCTTAGACTTAGAGTACCCGAGGTACTTTAGAGACTCCTTTAGTTCAGCCACCGTGAAAGCTCCCTACTCCAACCTGGGGACAGCTATGAAAAGCTTATCACCTTGGAGAGAATGAAAATATTCACCATGAGCACAAGTCACATTTAGGGTTTGAGCCATAGTATAGAGAAGGGAGCAGATGTCAGCTCCTAAGACATCTCCCTGCTGCACCACCCAGAGCCTGGGCTCATCCAGGCCCCCCTTAACCTGCCCCTCCTGCCACCCTTTACACTCACACACATTCCTCCCATGTCTCCCCTTGGTTGATTCCCCAAGGTCTCCTTAGGATGGAGATCCTAAGAGCAAGTTCAAGTGCACAGTACTAATAATGTGGGTGATGTTCGTCCTCTCCCAGCTGGGTGGGATGGAGAGAGCCCAGCTGACCTGGCAGGGAATTGCTTCTCTACATTTTGCTGACCTGGTAACCCCTAAGCCATGCTTTCCTGGGAATGGTCTGGGAAGGGTGCTAAGGAGACTGGGTAGAAACTCAGGACCCAGATCCCACCACAGGGATTGAGTGCTGCAGCTGAATGGCTTCCGGAGCAGCAATGAGCACTTCTTTGAAGATTGCCGTTCTTTGTGCTGATCGATGGGCATGAGTCCATTTCATAGGTATAGACATTAACCATTATATCAGGGATGGAGATGGGATTGAGCAGAGTTCCACAGAGAGGCTGCAGTTACCTGTCCCCTACAGAGTTGTCTGTATCATTTCTCCTAAGAGGGACCACATTCTCCTCTCTTATGTCCTAGAATCAAGATCTTCCTACCCCAGGAGCATACATCCCTGAGGGTGTTGTTAGGAAAAGAAGAGGGCAAGAAGGAAGCCTCATATTCTCAGATAACTCAAAGCTAATCTTCCATCACAGTGACCTCACCCAGGACCCTTGGGTTGAAGGATTCAGCTTGTGGAGGCAAGCCCGAGCTCAGGCAATTCTGTAGATATTGGGGGCTCAGAGCTGACATCAGTGACTCCAACCTGGCTGCTTAGCTTGGACAGTCCATCTTAGGTCTACCTAAGGCAGACTTCTTTTTCTGTGGTCCTCATTCCCAACTCTGCCCACTCAATTGCTACGCCAGGGCTCCTGCCAGTCAAGAGCCTCATTTCAGTGGTCGTGATGCTTGAACGTCCTGACCCATCCTGCCCAAGGAGTCCCAAGGGCCCCAGGCTGGCTGTGACTTCTGCAGAGGAATTAAGCAATAAGAATCAGGGCAGGCAACCTGCAGAGCTACGTTCCTTGGAGAGTGGCTGTCTGCAAGGATCTGAAGTCGGAACAATCAAGTTGACTGCCTGAGTAACCAGCCCCTCCTCACAGAGCTCAGAGTCCATGACCTAAGGGCCCTGCTGGAACCCCTTACCCACTTCACCACCCAATCACTCGGCTCCCCAAGAAAGGCTGCCAGAACAATCGATTGGCAAGTCCAGTTTGATTGATTCTGGCTACACAAGCAAGTGCCCTCCAGGGAGGCCCTTTCACTTGGGGACAGAAAAGACAACAGACCTTGGGGTTCCTCTAACTCCCCCAAGAAATTGCCTGTCACCATCTGAGATGCAGACAGAGCCTCCTGCAACATGGACCCAATGTCGGAACGTTGAGCAGCAGCTGCCACAATGTGCGTGAGTCCCACGTGACTAATCTGTTGAAAAAAAAAAAAAAGAAAAGGTGTCACCATGGCAACCTTTGCGTTCCACCCTGAGTTTGCCAAGCACACAAAAATAGGGGACATGTTTTCTTAAAGTACATACCAATTCTGATTGCAACCTGACTCTCTGCATCTATTTCCTGCTGGGAGAAGAAATGGTTCTCAAAGAATTTAGCAGTTTCTCTGCCCCTTTCCTCTGTATCTGAACGTGTCCTTCCATTTACTCAGGGGAGCAGGGGCCACCTGCGGCCTCCTCACCCACACCCCACACTCCAGGGCCCAGGCCAAGGACCCCTTCAACTAGGAAAACAGACAGAAATAGCATCTTGAGGGCCAAAAAAAAAAAAAAAAATGTTTTCAGCTTCCAATCTCCACAAAGCATCTGCTTGCCTCTTGCAGAACTCTCTCCTCCAAGCCAGGGAAGTGAACTTAAATGAACCAGAGTTGACACATGGGCTTAGGCAGGTCCAGGGGTGTTTCTGGAAGCTTCTAGGTGTTTTCTCTGCAGAGAACGAGATATGTGCTACAGTATTGTTTCTTCCATAATCGCTACTGTCTGGGACTGCGCATGACAGATGGTCTATCACAGTGTGATTATCCTTATCCCAGAGAACCTAATGAAAGATGGGCAATAATGATTCTCCCAGCTTCCCACCCACTGAATCATAAAGTGATGTATCTAACAACTGGGAGGGGAGAAAAGTCATCTTTTATTCCCAATTCCTCCTACAAGGCTGAAGTCTAGGCTCAGGCTATAAGTCAAAGAGAGTTTTTGCAGATTATTCGCAACCTGTAGCTGGCAACCTCTTTGGGACTTGGCAGAGGCATAGCTGTGAGATTTAAGTCCATGACCATCAAGAGCCAGCCTGGCTATGTGTGCCGAGAACCATATTGGCTCATTTTACTGCACCGGTTGTTTCTACAAAGGTCCACATCATCATATTCTTTACCCTGTCCCACTGAGAGGCAGAGAACGTCCAGAAAGCCTTCCTCCTTTGTCCATCATACCATGATGATGTGGAGGAATGGGGATGACGCCTCAGACCTCAGCACCTCGGCATGTGCTGATTGTGCTACCAGGATAATGCTGGGTTCCCTGTAGGACACCTGCCTGCAAGCACCTCAGATGTCAAGTTTCAGTGGTCTCTACCTCCCCTCTGGTCCCTTAACTCTCCCAGAAAGAAAAAGCCTATGAGAAACAGAAAAGAAGCATTCTTCAGCAGCTAGGCATTTCCATTGGAACTATTTATTGTGACAGGAGCAGTGAGGAGGGCTTGGGCTGCCTCTTTCAGGGCCCTGTCTCTGTAATTTAAGTGCCGGAACACTTTAGTGTCACATCATACTTTGTGTTGACTTAGTCACTCTGGGGACGGTCCTCAGTGGTCTTGCCAAACTGGACTGGTGTGGAAGAACCAAGGTCAAGTGCATTAACCAGCTTAGCATCTCTGCTAGTAGCCTGCACCCACTGCTAATCCACACGGGCATTTCACCAGCTGTGTTTCTACCTAATATTAATTTGCATCCCTCTTTATGGTCTCCAGGGTTATGATATTACTGCTCAAAAAGTCTTCAAGGCAATGCTAACTTGGTTCAATAAGCTTGAAGGATGGCATAAGAAACCAAGCGTTTTGGTTTGCTTTTGTTTTTCTGTCTCACAATGACAGTCCTCAAAAGCTGGACAGGACTTGCCCGATCCCTTGGCTTCCCTCCTACCTTAGGTGGTTTATGCATTGAGCATGCTCCTTGTGCAGGGCTTAGCCACAGCCACCTTTTCCTCTCGGGCTGATGAGCTGGCTCACTTTGGGAACAAAGAGGATGGGAGATGCCACAGGGCTGCCCATCCGTTTTCCAAATGACACACTTGTGAGTACCCAGGCGATGTGGGTGGCTTGTCTTATCTTGAAGGGTACTGACACCTGCCAAGCCCAAAAGGCTTCTCCCAAGTGGC